TAGGGCATAACACTTACAAGTTATACATGCATGCATGCATTATATTACCATAATGAGCTTGTTGAGAGCATCAATACTAAGATGGAGGATTATGACCGCTTTTTGACCTTTAATGATTGGTCCCAACTGTGTTGAAGTTTGGGCTTGGGAGAATATGTCGCCACCGCATCCATATCCTGATTTCATAAACTGTGGTGAGTTTCGACTGGATTATTGGTAAGGCCCACAAATGTGAGGCCGGCTTTTGGATATGCTGCCACATGAAATGGCTGTGGATAATTGGTCCATTTCTAAACTATACAACGAAAAAGAAAAGTGGGTTGTTGGAAAAGATTGGATCCTTAATTCGAATCCTCTGATAAATTTTTGAGAGCGTGTAAATTTGTAGGATGTATTGTGAACAATATTCTAATTCCCCACGAGTAGCTACAAAATTTAGACTCAATTAAGAACTTTGGGGATGGTTTTTGGGACAATAAAAATCGTATATGGCCTGGTTTTCAGTCCTTTGAGTGATGGCACTTGCTATATCTTCCGCCGAGACTTTTGGAGATGGATGTAATTATGTGGTATCTGAAATAGAGAAAAATTTACTATTTCTGGTGAATGACTTTAAATGTCTGGTGGGATGACACGCTAGTTCTTGGGTACCGCATATTCATCGAGACAAGTAGAAGCAACTGGAAACAGGTAATTCTTCTTTGGTATAAATTGTACCTTGTAGCAATTTCCGGTGCTATGAGGGAATGTCTGACAAAATTAAGCACTTTCCGGCTGCTTTATTATAAAGTGTAGCCTACGATTAGAACGGTAGGATGAAGCCACTGGTAAAACTAGAAGACAGACTAACAAAATACAAGCAATGATCCTGATGTTCCTCCTTGTTTTCTTCCCAAACCCCTAGAAGGAAAACAAGTGTTTGATTTTGTCCAAGCAAGAACAAGATATTATATAGAGTGATTTTTTAAGAATCAGAACATCAACGAAAAGATTGTAAAAAGTTGAATGAGTAAATTACTTAAAGTCAGTACTGAGTATTAAGAATATATGTTGTTTAAAACTTTGATTTTTGGTATGATTTTTTGTTCTTTATT